CCCAAAAGCACAAAAAGCCCTAAACCCTGAACCCTTGGAGGGGAAACCTGTTCTTGTCCAGCCCTGAGCTTCGAAACACCATTCTAACTATTGAGCCCCCTAGAGGATCCCTGAAAGGAAACCTCAGGGTTTCGGGGTTTTGGGGTTTTAGGGTTTAGGGTTCTGGGGTTCTAGGGTGTAGGGCTTAGGGTTTAGGGATTTAGGGTTTGGGATTTAGGGCTTTAGGGTTTTAGGGTTTTAGGGCTTAGGGTTTAGGGATTTAGGGTTTGGGATTTAGGGTTTAGGGTTTAGGGTAACCCTGGAAGCATCCCCTAACGTTGGGTTCGACGGCCTGCCTTCTCCGCTGAGGCTCTTTCGTCTCGCTTTGCGTGGTGGTCCTGGCACAAAGAGGGGGTGCCGGCGGCTTCCTGCTGGCCTTGGGCTCAGTGGCAGTTTGGGGGTTTAGGGTTTAAAGGTTTAGGGTTTGAAGGTTTAGGGTTAAACCCTGAACCCTAAACCCTAAACCCTAAACCGTCTGTTATAGAAGATTACACAAGTCAATAGAGCCCTTACATGTTCCTTCAAAACCCCTTGAAGTTCCTTCAAAGCCACCCGACCCTCCAGATTTCCCTTCATGCGATCGCTGCTCTGGATAGGCAGTAGCAGCTCTAAACCCCTAAGCCACAAGAGCGCCTAAACCCTACACCCTCAACGCCTAAACCCTAAACCCGCAACCCTAACCCCCTAAACCCCTAAACCCTAAACCCTAAACCCCTAAACCCCTACACCAAACAGCCCTACACCCCTACGGTAAATCCCACCCCCAAAAAGCACCTGAAACCCTAAACCCTAAGACCTAGATCTTGGGTACTGCCCCCACTCAGTATTATGGTTATATTAGGCCCTTAATAGTAGCTCTATTATAGACTGTTGCTGTGTGGGGGCAGTACCCAACCTAAATCTTAAACCCCAACCATGTTGCCCTAAACCCTAAACCCTAAACCCTAAACCCGAATCCCTAAACCCTAAACCCTAAACCCTAAACCCTAATCCCTAAACCCTAAACCCTAAACCCTAAACCCGAAGCCCTAAATCCCAGGCCCTGGCAGCTTTGCTGCTCCTCACCGCCATCAGCCTCTGGCTTGGTCCCCTGCGGAGCCGTGATCTTCCAGAGGAGAGATCTCCAAAAAGGACTGCCCGAAGGGTTTGTTTAGGGTTTAGGGATTTAGGGGTTTAAGGGTTTAGGGTTTAGGGGTTAGGGGTTTAGGGGGTTTAGGGTTCAGGTTTAGGGTTTAGGGGTTTAGGGTTTAGGGCTTAGGGCTTATGGTTCTCCGAAGAAGGAGCCACTTGGAGAGCGCGCTGACGCCCGAAGGGTACCTCGCCGCCGTGGCCGCAAAGGGGGGCGACTGCAGCCCCAGAAAGGCGCGTGCGCGGCCACCAGAGTCATATTCCCCTTAGTTAAGCCAGCTAAAGCCCTAAACCCAAAGCCCTGAAGCACTTAAAGCAGGAAAGCACAAACTTCTAAACCTTACCCAGAGAGCCCAATACCCCTTAATCAAGGAATATACCTTAAATTATTATGATTTAAAGTAAACCCTAAACCCTAAACCCTAAACCCTAAACCATAAACCCTAAACCCTAAACCCTAAACCCTACATTCCTTAATTAAGGGGTATTGGGCTCTCTGGGTAAACCCAAGGGCCCTCCAAAGAAAGGCCAAGCCCTAAACCGGCGGAGGCATGACTCCAGGCCAAGAGTCTCCCTTCTAGATCTCATACGAGTCATAAGATAGAAGCCTAAGAACATGGCCTATACTATTTTTTTTTGGGGGTTCCTTAGTATAGTCATAGTAGAAGATATACCCCAAAACCTTATTCTCATTCAACCCTAAACCCTAAACCCTAGACCCTAAACCCTAAACCCTAAACACGAAAAGGGGCGCATTGCACTTT